TCTAAAAATTCAAGTATAAAGAGAGACAGTTGAGGCAAGATTTACTATTAATACACACAATCATTGCTTCATAAGTCTTTATAATATTTTGGTCTCAAGATGTTTTTTTGATTTTCAGTTTAAAGAACAGGAGACACAAGCAAAACCATGCGGTATACACAAATTATTATTCAAATGTACTAACATGTAAATGAGACGCATCTCATAAAAAGGTCTAATTAAGTCAACCTAATTGAAAATAAAGCACCCATATGGCCATGGCCATTGCTAAAAATGAAGTTGGAAGTGAGGAAACTCTAAAAGTTGTGACCAAATCAAATAGAGTGGATCATGAACTAATCACACTGACTGCAAAAAATGGTAAGAGTATAAACACACAAATATATACACACACATTCACACACGCACACTACTAGATAATTAGATACAGCATGTGTATACATAACTTCAAAAATATGATAATCGTAATACACTTAAGGGTCTATTTATAAAATGTTCACAGAGCAAATGTCTCTGCAAATGAGATTCACAGCACATTAAGGCCACTAGATGGAGCCGAGGAGCATAGGAAATCCTATGCTTCTCAGCTTCATCTAATGGCCATAATGTGCTGTGAATCTCATTTGCAGGGTTGTTTGCATTGCAAACGTTTTATAAATAGACACCTTTAAGTATATCTAAATCAAAAACTTTAGCTTGGATTGTGTAGGGAAGGGTTAAAACACTGTTAGGTGTATGTAAATGGTACTTTCCTATTAGTACTCCACAGTTTTATGGGCCAGGTCTGACTGAGAGGCTAACTGAGCTAATCTTAACTACGTCAGGACCGCCCATCGTCAAAAAATGTCCTGTCCTGAAGTAGTTATACCAAGAACAGCATCCGTGTTCTTTGTATCATTTTAAACAATAAGTGTTGTATACCGAAGAAACTGCTACAGACAGCAAGTGGTTAACAGTTTTTGAGAAGAGAATGCCAATCAAATTCCCAAATGTATACTTGCTGAAAATACGGTAGGTTTTTTTTCAACATACTTTCAGTTCAAAGCTCAAAACACTTGCAACCAGTGTGCCAAAACTAAGCATAGTGCATGGATAGAAATTCTCTAATGAAACAGATGTTAACAGAATCCTGAACCCTAGCATATTTTATTATATCTTGATATGGAAGCAACACACTCGATCTGTTGTTCCAAGCAAAACAGCAACTGATTATCTTCAAAAGCTGCCCCCACAGACACAGTCTTTTGAATGCCCAGTTTGGTTGTTGTAGAACAAACTGGCCCCTAATCATTAAAAGTTGGCTAAAAATATTTTAGACCAACATTTGAGTGGGACAGATCAGATCATTACTACTACTGTTAGATAATGATATGTAAAATGCTTATCAACAAAAACACAGAGCCGATTTCTGCTCTATAATGGATCTTACATCCTGTTAGTATCACTGGCACGCATGAACACAAAGGGACCAATTAAGTTTTAAGCCAATTAACTATGAACTATGTTTTAGGACAGTGGAGGAGAAGGACAGTGGGAGAAGTGCCTGGAGGAAACAATTGGAGGGAAAGAAAATTCTAATTCTGCGCAGGCATATCCAGGATCGGAGCAAACTTAAAGTGACATTAAACCCTCAGATTTTTTAACATAAAACAATACTGTAATGTGTGCCTTACTGTAATCCATGGTTGTTTCCCTTCTCGTTGCTGCTCTTCCTTTTAAATCTGTATCTGTTATCATGCTGGGCAGACTGCCTTGTCTCTGAAATGGATACATGGTGTCTGTGTGTAGGTTTGCAAACTGAGCCAGCACTACAGGAAGAGGCACTCAGCTGCAAAGGGAAGTTTTCCCCCAGCATGAGAAGACATGAGAATTTAAAATGAAGAGCAGCAAAGAGAAGGGAAACAACCATGGATTACAGTAAGGTACACATTACAGTATTGTTTTATGTTAAAAAATCTGAGGGTTTAATGTCGCTTTAAGGTTGCAGAGCAGTAATGCAGCACAGGTAACAATCAAGCAGAAAGGCAGTGCAATCAGCCAACGTCTGGTCACCAGGTGCTGCCTTGAGCCTAGCTGTGGGGCAGTTCATATGTACATACTATCTATTAGGAATACAAACAAGGAAATTAGGCTTATAAACATGACTGCACTGGGACTTGCATTTGCAGATGTCCAAGCACAGACATTATTATCATACAGCAGAAAACATATGAGCAAAGCAGTTCTGACAAAACAAACTGATTAACTGTTAAAGCAATTTCAAAAATAATAAAATTAATATTTTAAAGTGGAACCTCATTAATTATGTTTTTTGCAAACATACATTGGCCCAGCTTAATGTAAGTATCCATGCCTGATATCAAGAGGGCCATTGAGGATACTGAAAATTAATATATTAGTCTCTGCTACATGCAGTGATAGCTGTGATCTTCCTGGTGCTGCTCCAGTGCCCCCCCCCCCCCCC